TGCCTGCCTCGCGAGCGTTTCGACTCCCAGTCAAGAAAATACTTTTTCATTTTCCACTTTTATAAGTCAAGCTCAAATCAATTAAGTAAAATTCAAGGCCTGCATTATCTCTTTTATATCTTAAATTTGAGACGGTGGAAAACATTATAAAAGTTATGTTTTTATTTATTTTTAAGCATTTAACTGCTAGATGTTTAAATCTAAAGAAAAGTTTACTAGAAAAAAAAATTAAAAGTTTCACTTGCATCGTGGTTTTATAAAACGACGCCATTTTTTATTATTTAGTGTGACAAATATGGTAAAAGACTAACCTAATGGAAAGCAGACAACATTTTAAAGACGCTTGCAAAGTTGTGATGCAGCATCACTCGCGCGTTGTGTACCCTAACTCTACCTGTGGAGCTTTTAGATTGATTATTGAAACTGGCCATTAGAAACTTATTTTTTAGAAATAATATTTATTCTCATGTATATTAATATATGTCATGCTGTACATGTTATCCAAAACATTCATATTTCGCGATACAATTAATTTAATTTTCATATCTACATATGTATAGTTTAAAAGGTTAAATAGATTAAATTATTTCCAACACACACACCAATTAACCTAGCCCCAAAGTAAGCACTGTAAGGCTTGTGTAATGGGATGCTAGGGTATCGGATAGAATACATATACTGTACACATATAAGTATATTTATATAGAAATATATATTAAACATCCATGACTGGAGCACAAGTGCTCGTATTCATCATACAAACATCTGCCCCCACCGGGATTCGAACCCTGGACCTCTCGAGTCGGCGACACCATGAAACCCGGCGTACAAACCACTCGGCCACGGAGGTCGTCTATCTATATGTTTCTACTAATAATCGTAAATATCCAACATTGGGCAAATACCCTCTTAAAATATTTAGAAAGAACCACACATTTCTGTACTAAAACATCAGCGTAGTTCTCAAGCTAGATAATATACATAAAATACGAGTGTCAGACTTACCTAAATACCCGGTTCTTTTCCAAAAAAGGCGTTCTTAAGACAAATAACTCGCCACGAGAGCACACTACTTACGGCCGCCTGTAACGACCACAACTTTTTAGCTCCGCTTAACTTGCCACAACAGCTGACGAGGAAAATTGTGAGAGCTGCGTATGCGATAAAATATATTTTTTCCTCAAAGCGGAGTATTCAAACGGGCGGATCCTATTCAAGAGTAGCTATCTACTCTTGGAAACGTCAGGATTATAGATGTGCCAAAGAGAATGCTCTCGAGAAATTACGCGTTGAGAAGAATTTAGGTAAACTAAGTTTTGTTTATATATTATTTTCTATTTGGCCCTGTGCACGTGTAGTGTCTACAAAATGAGTTTTAATGTTGTAGGGACACACTATTGTCATTTAAGCATTTACTGCACGTGTGGTGCGACGACGAGCGATTGAGCCAGTCGCCCTCCGTAGTACCCTTAGTTCACACGTATACATTTTTGTATTTAGGATAAGTTGTATAAGGGTTGTGTAATATACACGGCGCAACATGCACTTGAGGAGTGCCCAAAGTACGACGAGTTACGGACTATTTTGATCGCAGCTACAGGAGATAACCTGTCACTATCGGCCGTTATGGCCAAAATGGTAGAAGACAAGAAAGCTTGGGAGGCAGTGTCATCTATTAGTGAGGAAATAATGCTGCAAAGAGAGGACGAGGAGCGCCTCCGAAAGGCGGATCCACTCACACGGCCAATAAGGTGAACGCGGGGTCGACCAGTATCCGCAGTAGGGACCTCAGACACCAGGCACCAGGGTTGTCTGGTGGCTGTACAAAAACTAGGGTCATGAGAGAAGATGATACGCCAATGTGTCCTGCAGCGCGTTATCGAAGCGATCGGGGAGGGTGCAACCTAGCTCCCTTTCCAGAGGTGGGTCTGCCTCACGTGGTAGGCAATTGGCACCGGCTAGCTATGTGTGCGTTTCGGTCCAATAGCGACGCCTATTGGCAGAGTTGATGGGGCACGTGGGGGTTTAAGGTAGGCCCTTGCCTACCGACTAGGGGAAGCTACATTTCGTACAGTGGGTAGGCAGAAAGAGCCCGACATAACCCGCTCACCTGTTTTCAATGAGCGGGTATGCGTAAGGCATTTTACACACGAAAAAAAAGGGTTGTGTAAAATATCCCGTGTTCAGTGAAAAATAAAACTATGCTGTTCCAACTATATATGACTTTATTATTTCACATAGAAAAACCCTTAAAATATAAATACTTCCCAACTTCTTACTTTTTGGAAAAGGTCTGGGGATGTCTGAGGTTGACTGAGGGCAAAATTGATAAACTTAATTTAAAAAACAAAGAAATCGAGGACTTGTAATATATTTGCATACATTTAATTAACACAGCAGAATAAATAAACATTTGGCGCGGAAACGATTAAAGTAGGTACCAATGTGACCCTCGTACTGTGAGTTATTTCACTTGGTCCTGCCCTCATTTTCTTATATTTCACGTCGCCGCAGAAATATTTATTTGAGCATGGAAAGTGTGGGTAATACCAAAACGGACCCGAATGGCGTATATGCGACACACACGGCACCTAATATATCACGGAGGCGAAACTTTAATCTTACCTACCCCTTCCAACTTCGCGTTGTAGCGCCTAAATGGAACATAAAATAATAGCACCGAATTTTTATTTGAAGTAAGTACCAACTTTCAGATTTGTATATTTACTCGATTTTGGAAACATGTATAGTATGTCACATTGGCATTTTTATTATTCAAAAATGGGAACTCATTCAAATGCTACGGTCAAACTTGTCCTTGAAAAGAGGCACATGTTATTGATATTATACACACTTTTAACTTTTAAGGAAAATTATAATGGTTAAGAGCCCTTTTACAAATTTGCCGCTGCCGTACTGATCGGCGCGTAGGTAGATTTGCACTAGTTTATATTGCATTTTACGGGTGATGTTTCGAGTCTTATAAAATAATTATTAATGAACTAATTATAAAAAATATATACATATTTAAGTAGTTCAATGATGGTAGATTAGTTTTATGAAAGCTTTTGATAGTAATTCTATTTAATTCAATATCAGGTAAAAAATACGAGGTAAACCTGCATTTATTTTTTGGGAAAACTCACGGACGTTTTTTTTTTGATAATTAATGAGATGGAAAATAAAAAATGTAATACATTATGTTACAATAAACATATGTCTGATGTCGTAGTAATTAATTTGATCTAATTTATTGAACATTATTGAGAAATTGAGGTGTTTGAAGTTGTGCATATTATCGTTTTTTCCGTAAACTAGCTGCAGTAGAACGATCAGTACAAAAAAAGCAAAATAATATTTGCAAATATTCTACATTAACTTACTATAGGAAAAATAAATCTACTGTTTACTTCTATTGAAAATAGTCAAAATCTTTTCTAAGGGGGTAAATGAGGCGCTTAAAAATTACGGTTTTTATGCAAAAAGTGTGAATTTATAAACTTAATTTAAAAAACAAAGAAATCGAGGACTTGTAATATATTTGCATATGTAGATAGATTTATTATTTTAAGAGTAATAGTCGTTCAAAACTTATGTGTTAAAATAAAAATTTCTGACCTAAAAAATATTCCTTAGAAGAAAACATTAAAAGTGACTTAGACGAAGTAATTGCTTAAAATATAGCTCTTTCCAAAATATATTGGGGTGACGACGTGCAACTACGGTACCCTATACTGCGCGTGGCACCACACGCACTTGGCCGGATTTTTAAATAATACGTATAATTTAAATGTACAGGTCTAAAATAATAGATTTTATTTTTCTGATCAGGCTTCATGATAATTAATCCTTTGATTTCTCAAAGGAACAATATAAAACTTCACAGATTTCCTTTTAGGCCGACGACAGAAAATTATTTGTATTTATTTTTGCTTTAAAAATACTTTGTGTATTGTTAATCAGAGAAACGGAAGGAAAGATTCTAAGAAAATGCGAAATTGATGCCTCCTTTTTGAACTTTTATCAAATGTAGCGAGGTAATGTCGTAGTAGGAGTTCTTATATTTTCAAGATTGTAACTTATCAGATGTTCAAATCTGAAGAAAAGTTTACTAGAAAAAAATCCACGCGGACCAAGCAGCGGACGGGACACGAACCCGCATCCTTATCAGATGTCCCTGAGCCTTCTTTCATAGAATTATAAACAATCAGCCATTCAGCATTAAATGTTACTAAGTACAATTTTTATTCATTGCTAGGGCAGTCGCTCATAAAAAAAATTACCGTGTCCTTTGTCATTGTAGTTAGAAGCGAAATTTTCTGTAGAAACTGAGAACGACTGAGTTACTCGCATACAATGACAAAATTTGTGGCCCTGCGCACCGCATAATAGTAAGATAACTTAACTACATAACCTACTATAGCGTAGTTGATTAACAGTTTGGAGCAGTCGTTATCGTAGTTCATAGGAGTTGCATTCAGTTGTATGGACACACTTGCGCTCATTAGACATAACTATGATTGCGAATTCAGTTTCAGTTCACTTTATATCCTAACTGCAATTCTGCTGCCATAGCATGTCTGCTTCAACCTGCTGAGTTACACATTTCATTACGTGGGCACTATTGACTAAATGTAGAAATTAAAAAAAACGTAAATAATACACAGGTAACCGACAAGGTCACAAAAAGCAGGAGGGACATAATTCATAAGAAAATAGTCGGTTTCATGCGATCCAACCTACATCAAAATCGTCTACTGTTTGCATATGTAACGATAAGCCGGCTTATCAAGCCTTATGATCTCCTTGTTATCGTTGGATTCACGCAACATGCTAAACCTTTCAAGGCGAATCGGCAGATAATAAAACATTATGTTACTTTCTTTCACTACGATTTATTACTGAGTTATATGTTCAGCATTTTTCATACATTTGTAGTAGGTAGGTATTAATTCTACCTTATATTATGGTAATAAAAGATAATTTATTTATTTATACTTGTAATTATTTATTTTGGGCATAAAACAGAGCGAATACAGAATATGTACCTCTCACCACCTGTAAAAAAGAAACTAAAGTCATTTTAGGGGAAAACCGCGAGACTTGCACAGCTAGGAGAATAGGGAATATGCATATTTTTGTATTTTATATTTGCATTTAGTAATTTTTTTGCACTTTTCTATGTTGAATTTCTTGCTCGAAAAGTTTTTTTTAAACAAATATTGATGGAAGGACAAATTAAAAGTAATAGAGTTTATATACAAATTAAATGAGGCTTGTTTGAATTACATGCATATTTCCTAAACCAGCTTTCAAAATTGTATTTAAATGCTCAGTTTGCAAACAAAACGTCAATTCGTTCATTAGTCACATGCGAGACTGTTTTTTTTTGTGATTGGCATCTCTCACGTAACCAATGAAATTGAACGTTTTCCACCAAAAACGTTCATTTTCATTGGTCGTTCTTTTCCGTGTGCAGATAGTAAAAGTCTATCAACAGATATAAGCTAATATTTTCTATCAGCTGCTGCTGCCGGAAACACTTTTATTCTGACTAACGACGTCAAAAATCACATCGTTTAATGGTATAGTTAAGCGTAAGTTAAGAATTGCTAAAAGTAATAGGCTTGTTTTTTGGTAAAAATCAGAAATACGACACTACGACCTAAGAGCGGTTGGGCATAGCGGATTTTCCGCTCGAATTGGAGCGCCCGTCTGGGGTAGTAACTACTTATCTACTTTACAGGATACTACAGTAAAATAACACTACCTTTTGGTTATGGTATGTTTCTGACGGTGAGTAAGGTTCCTGTGCTCCACGGGATTTATAATAAATATAAATATTTCTAACACTCACACCAATTAGCCTAGCCCCAAAGTAAGCACCGTAGGCTAGTGTTATGGGATGCTAGGGTAACGGATAGAATAAATATATTGCTACATATATAAGTATGTTTATATAGAAAATACATATTAAACATCCATGACTACAGTACAAATGCTCGTATTCATCACACAAACATCTGACCCCACCCGGCATTCGAACTCGAGTTGGCGACACCATACTGACTCCCGGTGTACATACCACTCGGCCACGGAGGTCGTCAATATGGATTGGGTCAGGGCAACAGTGCGAGTGATCTGCTCGATATTGCAAGCGTCTATAAGCTATAGCGGCCTCTTACCAACAGACGGGCAAAAAACTTCTTTTTAACATAAAAAAAACTACATAAAACATCAATATAAATAATATTCAAATACGTACCTGCAAAAAAGTTCCGTACGTAAGCTCTATCATTTTGAAAGACTTCATGATCAGTGGCTGCTGCGCTTGCGCGATCGCCAACAGCACCAGCCGCCTGAGACTCCGCTTTGGAGGAGGCTGCGGCGCGAACTCGTGCCAACCGATATAGAATATTGCATCTGCTAGCAAAGACGCCTGGGAACACAAGCTTTTGCATAGGGCATTTGTCGCACCGACCGACCGACGAACGATAGGCGAGTAAAGCTAGAAACTAAAAACGAGTTGGCGAGCAGCGGGAAGCGAGTGTGTAGCTCCGATAATTTCATCACTGGGTTTCAAGCTAGTAATTTAGAGTAATTTATTTCTTTGCCAGCTAAGTAAGATGACAATTTCTTTATTCCACTAAATACCAAGTAAGTACCACATAATATCGTTGAATGTAGGTGTATTATCTATCGGCATACACAATGTTGATTGTTAGATAATACACCTACGCGTTTTCATTGGAGTACTTGTGATCCAGTATAAATCCTTTTTTTTTACTACACTTAAACCAATAAGCCTAGACCCAAAGTAAAGCACTGTAAAGGCTGCTGTTATGGGATGCTAGGGTAACGGATGGAATACATATAGTATATTTATATAGAAATGCATATTAAACATCCATGACTGGAGTACAAATGCTCGTATTCGTCACACAAATGTCTGCCCTCACCGAGATTCGAACCCGAGACCTCTCGAAACTCGATAATTTGAAACCCGGCGTACAAACCACTCGGCCACGGAGGTCTTCAATGCAACATGCATCGTTTTGCTTCAACATGCTTTACTATGTGCTTTCTTCCTTAGCTATACGATTTTAGAAAAGTCTCCCCTACCGGTTCAAAAACTCTCACACTTAAGTATTTTATTTACAAAAGCAAACCTGATATGTGATTTCTCCGGCGTTGCATAAAAACATCCCCAGCAAGAAAAATAGCGCTAATACAAATAATATTGCTTTAATACTCGCAAGGAACGTCAGCTGATCCGTTAACTGGAAAAACGAAATACATGAATTAAAATAACTGTGATATAAAGTGTAATGAATACATGTTCTTACCATACGAAAGAAATTTGAAATGCAACAGAAAATATTACGAGAACTTTTGTCATACAGAATTTCTTAAACGTGATAACAAAAACCACTTATGTTATAATTGTTTTTCAATTACGGATTTGATATGTTTAAATAACTTTATACTTACTGCTAATTGAAGCATAAGTGAGACAGCAGATCCTGAACTTTGACATAATTGTAATGCTATTACCAAACCAAACGCAGTGTCTATATTTTTGGCCGTCCTGTAAAGATATACATAAACCAAGTACGTATGTCTCGTTATTTACTGAATTTATATAATTAGATGATTTAATTAAACTAAATTCGGGTAAGAACTTTTAATTTTCTAACTCGCGCATAAATTAATTTAATTTCAAAAAAATGAGCTTATATTTAAAGTTTTACCATAGGCTTACTTGCAACAAAGGTCTTAATTCAAATTTAAAACCTAATCACGCATAAGACTCACGCCATGAATATTTGACTTAAAACAATTGACAAAGAAGAAACGATGCACTAAACACGATTTAGCCTTAATTTTAATTAGGAAGTGTGGTATGAGTGTAATAAAATATGCTAAATGAATTTCGGAGCAACATAATTCTGCCAGATAGAGGGAACCTGTCATAAATACATAGAGAGACATCTATATTGTTTCTGTGAACCCCCATGATCATTATTTTACGAGTACTACCTATTCACAGCAGCGTGGTTAATTCAAAGTCATTCAAGTCCGAGTTTTTATGAACAACAAAAAAATCAGTACCTACAAAGTGTACCAAAACAGTTTTAAACATACTTCAATAATTTTTGGTGCATTATGATCCCTTTTACGAAACCATTCGTTAGTTGCTCCGCAGCGATTTCCTGGTTCCCATTCTTACTCATTTTCAGATAGTTCTCCCTCAACGAATCGAAGTAGTGTCGCAAAGTAATGAATTTGTATTTGAAAATGATGAGATACGTCATCGTGAACGTATCCACGGTCACAATCATCGACATCAACATCACTTGAAGAATGATCGTTGTAAATATCCTGAACGAGTTTGCTAGAGCGGAATTGTCCTCGTAAGCCGGATAGTATGTGACAACTGTCACAAAATGAACTCCTGTAAATAAAATATTATTTAACCATGGATAACTTTTATTATTAAGGCTTTTACAAAGTAAGATGAAGATGGTTTTAAGATTTGGCAGGTTTTAAGCTTTAATTGCATACACCCTAAATACCGTTTTAACTACACGGAGTGACGGAAGCGGCACAAAAAATACCTACTAAATATAATAACTCGTCGCTGCACACACACACATTGCCCCAGTACAATCTGCCATTAGAATCGCACACATAGGGTAAAACATAAGCCATTTCGTTAGCATGATTTATTTTGGTTGCTCTTTCTAGATGTATAAATAAATCAAAGGTTTTAGGTTTCTGTACTTGGTGGTTTATACAATTAACAAAATTCAAGTAATAAATAGCTGAAATTATGACAGATTGCGCTTTATCTTAGTAATTTTTTGGTTGAATGACAAAATTTAAAAAAAAAACGTATCCGTTATTTCTTGATAATCTAACTGACAGAATAAATGGAATTTCGTTTACTTTACCCCGTCAGCATCCTGATTCATGCGAAAGATTCGTATCGCATCAGCTACCCACGGCCCCATTTTACTTTGAAACATTTGAGAATTAAACAGAATGAAACTTGAAACTTTTAAAATGATTACCTATAGAATTTCAATCGCTTATACGGGTTTTGTAATAAAAGCCCGTCGACATTAAAACAAAAGCACTTAAATTGTATACAAAACACGACTCCAAATCATTACTTCCTTTCATTATATAAAATTTTGCTAATTTAACTTGCTTATTTAAAAAGGAGTGATGGATCTGAAAGATGCTAAATTTAACTTTTGAGTATGAACTCAGGACCACCTTAATTATAAAGAAGTTATCAGAAAGGCGGCGTTGTTTCATCTGTAGTTAATGTTAATGTCACGTCAAATACTTAGTAATTTTGACAAATTTTAATTTGCCTCTAATATTTTAACTAAAATGACAATGGGTAAAACACACCCCGCTCCGCCAACAATGTAATTAGTATGAATCGAAACATCTATGAAAAATTTGCCTTTTTTAATTATGACACCGTAAGAAAATCCTGATATTCGAAATATAAGACACATGGGCATATTTAAGCAGTTAAATAAATACATTTAATAGTACCTTAATTTTATATTATAAGGAACCATAGTAATGTGCCACATCGTACTATACAACCGACAAAGCCTGCCGACCATCCTGCGCTTGTACTTACCGAGACACCTCAAAACGGTTTACGGGGCATATACGGGTGCTGAAGGATTTGCAGTTGCAACTAGTCGACTCATATGCAGTCCTTCGTCTTACTTCGTTGTGATTGTGCGCCCCTGTCACTTGATCGATTTTTAACTAACACGCTTTGGACATTAGAACACGATTATCGGTTATATGAATTAATATAAACTGGAACACGTGTTGGTTTCTCCGAGGCGTGGACAACTCCGTTTTAAGTAGACGACAATTTACTATAACACAGAGACTGTTTGAAAAACAACCCAACTCAAGTGGGGATTTGTTGCTTTAGTCTAGCGCAGCAGAATAACATAAGGGTGCACCCTTGCACCTTATGAAGTACTCCCATAATATCTGAGCCTTCTATTTAGGGTCGAACTAACTAACTAACTACATTAATTCCTTTTTTTGGTTAATGTTCGTTCTTTAAAGTACTTGTATCTATTTACCTTAAAATAATTAAAGACACCTGGATTGGAATTTGATGCGCTTTGACACAGATGATCATGACTATAATATCTTTTAAACAAATGTAGTTGAAGCCGTGGCGGACGTGGGTGCAGAGTCCATATATTTTCGCCCAATGTCCTTTAAATAAATTTAAAAATGAAACAAAGCGACCTCAATTACTTCCTTACCGTTGAACAGCTTCCTCAATCCTTCGAAAGCGAAAAAGACAGCGGTCACATAGACAATAATAAAATACACCGCAACATTTATTTTCACAATCTTATACTTTTCTGCCATCAACTGTTGCTCTTCGTGTTCTTCGCAGAGCTCTGTCATGTTCTTGTTGAGTTGTTTTATCAACGCCTTGTTGGATATAACCGAGAATAATTTTATCATAACTATCGTATGGCTCACTGCGAATGTGACTGCATCCCTCTTTTCGTCTGATGGGAATACACCGAATATAGCCGCCATTATTTCCAATATTGTTAAGCAACCATACAAGAAGAAGTGAAGACCTCTATAAATTTTGTAGGACAAACTCCTGTCATTGCCCACTATTCTCTCTTCGTACCAAAAGTTACCAGAACCTACTCGATAAATGTACTGGCAATATGTTTTAAGTATAAAAATATCTTTCATTGTTTCGTAATTATTGTAGTTATTGAATTTCCTTTTTTTTTGTAAGCACTAAAGCAGGATCATCTGTAAATATAGTATTTTATTTATATTCTACACAGCTTACATCCGATCTTTCATTGGTCCTTTTTGTCTTTACAATTTTCTTTTCTCTTTGTAACACCGTGAAAAGAAATCTAATAATGCGTAATTATACAATGTTCCGAGAAAGTTGGGTTATTCTGAAAGACACAACTTTCGTTTTAACGCTTCCCAAAGTTCAATTGGAAGTTTTTATCTTAGTTAATTTTATTTGAACAATTTAGTTCTTAAATTAAGTAAAATTCACTGAATCAATATTCAGTTCTTATCAACATTAAATTAATTATGATTTTTCATTGGAGAAAGATCCTCTAACAAAACTTGTCAAGTACTGGGAAAATAATTTTTCAACACATTTTCATCAAAAAATGCATTTATGGAGATTGTATACAATGTTCGAAAGTTCCAAATTACGGGACATTTGCTCGTAAAGCGTCTCTTATTGCACCAATTTCAATATCATAATCTATCACATTACACACGCGGGCGCGGGCGGTAATGTAAAGTAAAACGCACGGCTTATTATGTCCCTAGTTTTTACGGGTTAATGCACGAAAACTTTATTTATTTATTGACGTTTCGTAGCCTTTACAGGCTACGTCGTCAGCATAAAACTTTTATTTAATTTGTCGAGCTACCTTCGAAAGACTTTTGTTTTTGAGCGTTTGGTTATTTCATTGTTCGATTTTTAAGTTTTATTGTCTATGTATGAATTTATTATTTAATTTACTTAATAAAGTATTTTATTTAAAATTCTTGTTTGTAATTTTGAGTTTATTTATTTGACCCTAACTACCGTAAACTACCACCGGTTCCAAAATTGGGAGACCTTCCTGAGAAGAACCGGCGAAACAAACTCAAGAGAGGCTCTCTTGAGTTTTGTTTCGCCGGTTCTTGTAAAGGCTACGAAACGTCAATAAATAAATAAAGTTTTCGTGCATTAACCCGTAAAAACTAGTTTTATTTAATGAGTGATGTGCGTGAAAACCTAAGAAACAAATATTATTATGTCCCGTCTAAAAACAAACGATATTTTTTAAATCTTACCAAAGAGTTTTTATGTCAGAAAAGTAGCCAATATTTCTTAATAAAATTAACTTTGGGAGATAAAATATAATATATAAACATTTAATTCCTTAATTTGTTTCATTTTGAGAATAAATAACAACCATGTATCGGTAACAAATTCACAAAAATATTTATTTACTTTATTAGTAACACTGGCTGTTTTTGTTCCTTTGCCTAAAAAAAGCGTTGATGCGCGCTCATCGCTAATCTGTGAAAAAGTTATTTCTTTTTCTTTTCGCTGTATTGTTTATATTTGAAAACATTGTCAAGTAGTAACGAATTTATTAATTTGACACCGCCAGAAGTCGAAAAAGGCTACGCTATGCCTCTTGCCCGGAAAATGCACGGATAGATAGATACTTACAGTCAAGCGTATCAAAATTTCATCTTATGGATAACAAACAGGTGCAAATTTTCAGAAAGTACGTACGTAGGTAGTATTGTTTCTTCGCAAATGTGTTATAAAACATCGTATGACATACGTGCGGCTTGACCATTACAGCCTCTGCCTTCTTATAGCCCTTACCTACGGCTCGGGCTAACAATATCGCCTCGACTGTAATTCTCAACTTACCGCACTTATATCATAATGTACTATAACCGCACGCTCCCATATATGGCACCGTGCGTATTCTTTACGGTTTTTATTAATTTCGATAGAACCTCCTTGGAAGCTCTTTTAATGTATACCTTTGTCTCACTTTAATACTAAAAAGAAAAAGAGACGATAAGAAAGATGTATTTCTAATTTTCATCACCCGCACGTATCGCCATTTGGAAGTTTGCTTCATTACTTAAATTAAGTAGGTATACTTTTTTCTCGCAAATGTGTTGAAAAACGTTGTATGATATCCGTACGTATTGGTATTTACAAACTCATGACCATGGTAAGCCCTCGACTTCATCTCGGGCTTACATTCGTCTACTCGTTTGTAATAGCCAACTTACCGCACTAATGTCATAAATAAAAATAACTACTCCAATGTCCACTACGTGTTCGCTCACCTGCTTTCATTTGCTCAAAGACCCAGAAATACCTAGTCCTCGTTGCCACTATAAAATTGTTTTCCAAACTTCGGAAAGTTGTACCTACCTTCTAATCAAGTCATTTACTCGACGCTACAGTTAATATACACTTGGCGAACTATTGTCTGAGCGTACGTATGAACTTCTGATATGTACAATTTGTATTTTGTGTGCGGGTACCTTCCTACTATACTATATGTACATGTAAGAATGTGTTTGAGAAACATATTTTTATATTTATATTTTAAAATTCTTACAGTTAAAATAGGAAAATAAATGAAAACAAAATGATATTTTGATACCTAAAAACAAATATTCAAGTAAGTCGGACCATCGCGCAATATGGGGTTCCATAGTTGCACCTCACAAAGCGCAAGTAGCAAACTCATAGGTAGTATTTCAAGGCACATCTCAACTGTACCAGCCGGCCTATTCGCAATTTTTTTTTTGACATTTACAATGTGTAACAAAAGATAAAATTGCAAATCCATCGATGTTTTTCAGAACAAGCCATCTTAGTAGCTTTATAATGCAAGGCGTCTTCTATGCAGTGAATTTTTTGAATGAGTGATGTGATAGTATCTGCCCACTAACAATTTTGAATTTAAACTAAATAATAACATTAATTTGCTATTAATAAAAGAACATTGTTTAACATTGTTAAGAGGGCGAATTGTCTTTACTATGTAGACCAATCCTATTATTTTGTCCACACGTTTTTAATTTTAATTATTTTTATATGTTAAAGTATAAAGATTTCTGTTTTTAAACGTGGAGACCTGTAATTGGCCTTCTGTAACTAATTTTTTCTTCAACTATGTCTGTTTTTATGAGCTGTTGGTCTCCCAAAAATTAAAATAAATAATAAAGCAGAAGTTGATCACTAAATAGATTATCACTTCAATCTGTCACAAGCAGTTAGCGAATAGGCCTCATAGAGGTATAAGAATAGAGTAGGGGAGATATACACTACAAGTGGAAGTGTCCCTCTAATAAAAAGAGACAGAAGATGAGAGAATGCTAGGTTTCTCTCTCTAATCGCGCATGCGCATTGGCAACCGTAAGCATCTTACTATTTCGATGTGATGCCATTGGATGCCATGCGTCACAAGAGAGAGAGATAGCTACCCGTCTCTAATCTTCTTTCTCCTCTTACTCTTACACCTCTATGATAGACCTACTGAGCACTCGCGATTACCACTTGAATCTAACAAAAATTTACGCTTTACATAGGAAGTTTTAATCGAAAAAAGTTTTGAAATATCCTTAATATTTTTAAAGACTTATTCTACGACACCCTTAACCTTACTACTTATCTTACCAGTTTGTCAGCATGCGTGGTTAATATAGTCATACCAAACTACAGCTTCCTAGTACTAAAAGTATCTGATCATCCAACAGACAGACGGACGAACGGACTAACTACGATTCTTAAAAGGGTAGGTATTTGATGAAGAAGATATGGAATAATAAAAGCCTCTTAAACATGCAAATATATATTTTTATTTGTTCATTTGAAAAGTAGTTAATTGATTACTAAAGCCCGAATAGCTTAAGCAATGTTTTTACTTCTAGTTTATAATTACCTGAATTAGAGCCTTTACAGGAGAGGTTTCGTTCGTATTAATAGAAACTTTATTTAATCGCTGTTTATATACTTCAATGGCCGATTCTACGAACAGCAGTGGTTTACACGGAGAGATTTTATCACCCTACCCTATGAAAGGAAACACTGTCCTTATCGAAAAGGGACCGTCAACACCCACGCTTGTTACTAGTGGATGTACAATAAGTTCTGGTATTTTAGTCAAGCAAATCCATCACTTGCCTAGTTTGAATATTTTGTTATTGCATACCAACAGTTAGGTATCTGATGACTCGTCAGTCATTAATATTTATCGCCCGCTTAGCTCACTATTTGTTTATTATATGAAAGTAAATAGTTGTTGTTTTTTAATAATTGAAATGAAAAATCTTAGAGACAAATAATGTAAGTCAATTCATTAGTTATTAAGAAAAGTATTATTGTTTATTACTAATAGTTAGAGTTACTATATATATGATATATATATATATTTATATATCAATATCTTGAAATGCCATTTTATACTTACCACAGTACTGCTTACTTATTTTGTAAATCCTTTATATTCGAGACTATCAAAATAGTAGATTATAAAAAATCATATTCACAATATTTAGCATTTAAGTTGAGACATTTTCAGACAAAAAAAGGAAATTTCAATTTAACTAAAAATTATACCTATAAAACTAATAGATTTTCCTGATTTCCAAGCAAACCCAGGTAAACCTTGACTTTAAAAACATAGGGTCATTATGTAAGTAATATGCTAAAGAACTTGTTTCGTAATTTGTTGTAATAGTGGTTAATGACGTGAAAGCTGTGAAAGTTTGCGGCCGTCGTCTTAACTAAATGTTTTATTAGCGCATAGGAAAAACACACACAGCCAGGGCCGGATTCAGAGGTGTGGACGTCCTGGGGCAACGAAGGTGTAGGGGCCCCCATTTTAAAATCTGGAAACCCAGCCCACTTACGATTTGCGACTCGTAGTACGTTGGTGGCCCGTAGAAATTGAGTTATTTTTAACTCTGCTTTGGGGCCTAGAATATAATCCCTCTCCCTGGGCCATATCCTACCCTGTCTTAAATCCGCCCCTGCACATAGACATAGCAAATAGTTCTTTTATCAAGTTAAATTACTTTCACGCCCTCCGCTGTGGTAAAAGTTTCCTATTGGTCGGTCGCGTCAGCTGTTTAGAATTCCGATTAACTATAATGCCGAGTTATAGGACCGGTGTTATTGTAAT